CTTTCGAAAATTCAACCAATTACACTCAAACATTCACATATCTTTACTCATATATATAAACGTACATTCAGTGCCCCAAGTAATGTGTCTTTCAACTATAGACACATACACACGAAACGTTCAAAATAACTTTAATGCGGTCACAATGTTGAAGTGACACAGTAGCTCCAGTTATATACAAATAATTTTGTGTGCGTCAAGTCATGACCCTCCACAACTTCCTGTCTTCTGAGGTTCTATGTAACAATAACTCCTAAATTCTTTTTTGTTGCCATTTATTCTTGACAACAACATTAAGTCGTTATATAGCAGATTTTACTTTTGTGTAGGGAATCCCACAAACAAAAAACAAACAAAAAAAACAAAAAAAAAAAAACGCGAAACCCAAGGTTTAACTAAAATGAATTTTTAAAAATGAAAAATATTTGAAGCTTTTTAGTTTTAATCGAATTAAACAGATTTAAAATGTAAATGTTTAATAATATTTCCAATAAGCAAAATACTTTGCCGTATTTCAATAACTAATTTAATTAAAAATTGACGTGGAAGGAGTTTACTTTTTTGTTGCTAGTAAAATATCTGATTAGCGCCGCTTTTTTAGTCGTTTTTCATCGCAATATAATTCTCTTTAAAATTCTCCAAAAAATAATTTTTCCTGAAAAGGAATATTAGCTGATTTTTTTTTGTGCGTGTTAAATTCTCTAGGTCATCTTTCCTCAAATATCCAGTAGGTTTCTGCACTATATTTTCGAGCAAGTTTGTGTACTGATGGCAAAGATGAAGAAAAGGGAACAACCCTTGCTTAGAACTACGAAGAATAGGAAGTTGTGGAGAGCCATGATCGCCCAAATCCTGAAAAAAGACAGTTTTCCCACGTAGTTACACTACAGTATTCCTTAAAACTTCCTCATTTGCCACGTGCTATTTTCTGTTTTACTTCAATGAAAACTTGAACTAGTTTCATGGTCCCATGTTTTGCGAGAATCATAACATCAACGGCAGCTCAGATATATAGAGAGGTGAACAATTACATAAAACAATTCCATCGTATGCATACACACACACAAACAACTATACACAGTTTACTATACACACACAAAAGCTTTATTAAAAACTCAAATACATGCAGCCATATTTAAGTTCCCACGTCCGAACAAACATCAGTGTCAAACTCCCCAAACCCTTTCCCCTGCCCCAGAACCCCTAAGATAACCATGTGCTCGTTGATGCCTGGCATCTATTATCCACTGTAGTGTCAAACATACACACAACATGCCAGTGGTCTGTAGGGTCTTCTTCATCTCGATGATTTATTAAGGTCTAAATTAGGGATCAGTCAGGCACAAAACCTGACTGATGCTTTATCAACTCATGTCACTGTACCAATTATGTTTGCAAACTTAAACACACACAGATGTACAGAAAATGTTATGAATTATCCTTCAAGCCACACACACACACATGTTACATACATACAGGGTGAGGTAGTGAAGACAGATGTTTTTGATAAATTCACATCATTAATTTTAGCTTCCAAAAATTTTTAGCGGCACCAAAATCTTAAAACGCATAAAAAAAGTGAAAGATGCCTTCCAGAAGCAAAGCAAAGTATTAAGAAACAAGAAATTGCATTAGAAATAAAGAAAATATAGCCTGGACTGAGTAATAATCATTTCAAAATGTCCATCCTCTGTCTCACCCTGTATATATGTATGCGTTTCTTTTTTTTTTTACTAATGAGAAGCAGCTCCTAGAATTTTACTCTCATCTAGCAAGTAATATTTTGTAATCATATCATACCCTCTACTTTGTTCTTATCAACCTTTTGCAGGTTATTTAAAGCCAGGAAATATTTTTTTTAGATTTTTTGGGGGGGTGCTAATTAACCCATCATTGGAAGGAGAAGAGGTGGATTCATACCTTTCCCCAAAGGTATTTGTGTGTAAGTGAATATAACGAACCTGATTGGAATTGGAACTCAGCTCTTCATTTAACAATTCCGAACAATTATCACCTGTACATCCAGGCTTACAGTCCCAAGAGCTCACTCATCTAGGTACTAATCAGGCTCAACATTGCTTAACTTTTGTTATCGTATGGGGAACCAATGTTTAAACGTGATATGCCTGTAAGCCCCTTGGGCCTTGTGCTGGCTGAACTATCAATAAATAAAAAAAATTATACCACACCATGTCAGCAGACATATACAGTATACTTTAGCTGATCTTATGTTGCTCTACTGGGATCACTGTCATGAAAAAAATTTATTTGAGCTGTCATAGTTTATCTTTTCAAGTGTGATCCTCAGATAACACAAGTAGACATTTGGGAATTAAATCACACACACAACATTGCAGGGGAAACAAAAGTAACATAGGAATTAAGTTATTTGGCAGTTAAAGTTGTAAGTAAAATATATACTTCAAGCCTTACATCATATGCACACACTAATCTTACAGACATATTCATGAAGAGATTTTATTATGCAAGTCAATATTTTCATAAGAAAATTGGTGATATTGATAGAATGTTCAGGGTATATTTTTATTAAGAGAAGCTGTATATTGCATGAGTTTCATTTCATATTTATTATTAAAAAATATTGTTTAAGGGATATCATGTTTGTTATGCAAACAAACTAAGTATTAACTTTTTCCACTGACATAATTATATTGAATCCATTGCTAAATCTGCAGCTAAGAAAGTTGATTTCCTGTGTCATGCTAGACAATTTTTCTTGCTAGAATTTATCTTACATATTTATAAGACTATCATTCATCCATACATTGAATACTGCTTCCACATCTGTTCTGGTGTTTCTGCTATGTATTTAAAGATTTGTGATAAAATACAAGGAATAATCTGCAAGGTTATCAGTTCTGACATCTCAGCTTCAGTCAATTCCCCATATAACAAAATCATACAAGTGAACATTTACAATAAAAACATAAGCTGTAATTCACATGGCATATTTATCATAAACATATCCTAAAAATTTTCAGTTAATTCCAATTTTATTGAATTTTGACTTTATTACTTTGTATGCAACTTCATTTGCTGTACAAAAAGTTTATTCTGCCACTGAAGGTGACTCTGATCCCTCAACAATAGTGTGTTTGAATTTCATAGTTGTGTTGTCATATCCTGATATCGCAACGAAAAACATTTAAGTGAAATTAACAATAAGGTTACTGCAATTGAGAGGCCTTTAAAAAGAATGCAGTGGGAAGGGGAGTAATTTTAATTATGCAACCTGCTAAGCCATGACTTGCAATGTCAGATTTTATTATGTAAAAATTTGGATTTAATTCACCACACTGATATATTGATATACATAATCTATCTTTCTCTCACATTTTACATTGTTTAGTAAAAGTCCGTCAATGTACCTAGTTAAATGACTTATGAACCTTGACCAAAATCATGTTCGATTATCTGCCCTTGGCAGAAACATAAAGCAGAATCTTCCATTATCACTTATTAGTTATTGGTTCTGGAATTGATGGCCTGTTAGTTTTTACAGTAACAACATTTTTATGTTTTTCTTTCTTGGTTGTCCTCTTTATGGCATTGGAAAGCACTTTTATCCTGGATGACCCCTTAGACTTATAGTGTTGTATTATCACCAGCCAAGTTTCTGGTTATAAAGTATGTATTTTATTCAGTCTAACTACCTCACATCAATCATAAATAGATTGCTACATTTTGTTAGCAAATAATATTGTAAATACATTTTTAAATGCTGTGTCTTTTCAGGATATAAGTGGTCATGACTGCCCAAATTCCTTTATTATCTGGGAATTCCGATGGCTTCTTTGGAAAGATAGTGGAGTGGTTTCCCATTGACTTTGCCATTGTTTGGAATTCAGTGTTTTCTTTCTCTTAGACATGTTTCTATCTAAGGTTAAAGAGTACAGTCAATTCTGTTATTTAACCCATTGCTGGAGAAGCAGAAAAAAAAAAAAAGAAACATGTTCATGCCTTTACCAAGGGCATTTGTACAAGAGTGAATGCAATAGACTAGCTCAGAATTTGGACTCTGCTCTCAGATTCCATTATGCTACCCACACGGCCAGTTATTAATACTACTTCTTAAAATCTTCCTGCACAAAATACTGTTTAACAAAGGGGCTTTTTGTATTCCATCAAGAGGTGGGGTCTGGTTCACCCATCAGAAAAAGTATTAAGTTTTGACACTAAGAAAACAAACATAAAATAAGTACTGGACCCATTAGTAAATAATCATAGCATTGTGCAGTGTATAGAAAATAAATAAAGTCAGACAGACACACACACACTACACCTAAACAGATTGACAAGAACAAGTATGTGAAAAAAATGTATTAAATAACAATTCAATTGCATTTTTATAGCAAATATACATTTATTCAATTCTATAGGCAAGGGAAACTTTTGTTAAATTGGATAAAGCTGTGGTTATATTATATCTCCATGCCTTAAAGATGGCTAGGGAGCAGGATTTTTTTTTTCTTTCCTTTCCCTTTTATAAAAAATCTAACAAATGATTTTCTTTTAACCTTTGAGAACTCAACAAAATCCAATATTCTGGCTAATATATTTTTATTATTATCCCTTCCCATATAGACTAAAAACTATTTATGAAGCCAGGGCAAAGATTCCAGTTATATTTTATTCCATCATTAAAAATAAATTTTGAATTCAATCTTTCAGGCAATCAAATTCTAACTTAGCATAGAGACATATTTATTTATCTGTAGTAAATAGTGAATTACATAAACACTTTTAAACACTTCCATGAGTAGACAAGAAAAAAAAAAAAGAAAAAAAAAAGAAAAAAAAAGAAAAAAAAGAAGAAAAAACCAAACAAACATGTAAGAAAACATACATTCTATATTTTAATAATATTTAACATACACTCTATAATTTACTCAATGTACAGTTATCAATATTTTTGTGTCAAGTATTGCTGAGAAAGTTATTTTATCACTCTTAGGAGGATTTAGCCTTATCTTGAGAAC